TAAACCTATTCATTCTCTTAGCAGTCCGTGGTATATGCAATATCCTTCTCCAATACCACAGCTCAAAGGCATCAATTCTCCTTCTGTCATCCCTAGTCATGGTTCAGCTCTCTGATGCATAGCAAGTGATTGCAAAGGCCATGGCCTGTATCAGGTGCACCTTAGTCTCCAAACTGACATCATTGTTCATCAGTACTTTAGAGAGAAAGGTCTCTAACAGCAGACTTTCCCATCACAATATGCCTTTTAATTTCCTGGCTGCTGGTGCCAAGAGTGTTGACTGTGGAGCCAAGCAAACTAAAACTGTGAACAATCTCAATCTCTTCACCATCCATCATGATGCTGTCAGTCGGCCCAGTAGTGAGAATCTTTGTTTTCTGATATTGAGCCTCAATTTGTACTGAAGGCTGCAGTCCCTGACTTTCCACAGCAAACGCTTCAGGTCCTCCTCAGTTTCAGCAAGCAGGGTTGTGTCATATGCATAACACAGATTGTTGATGAGTCTGGTTTTGTAGCCAGCTACAGGAATATATTTAAGAAAAGACCAAACTTCTGCTAAAACACTGTACAAAAAAAGTTTTAAAACTTTTTGTTGTGATTTGAGTGGAAGTTTGCAGAGCAAACTAATTTTCCATTCAGCAATTCACACATATTTATGTTTCTTGACAGTGATTACAATGGTCACATTATAACAGGGCTCCTGGCACTTCTTCCCTTGTTCCTCACTTTGCGCTGTCCTTCTTCCCAATCACTATCTGCCTTCTTAGCTTTATTCCCAGGTAAATGCTTTCCCTTTAGATCTCACTTTACAGACACTTTATTGCTTAGCTGGAAGTTGAGTCTGAGTCATGGGGTTGATTTCAGTTGAACAGTAACAAAATGGCCATAGTTTTAGGGGTTCCACCAGCCTCTTTCAGGCTTGTAAGTCTAGTCCTTTTTTAAAAAAGTATTTTTAATTTTGTTACACATGTTGCACAAAAATTTTATAGACAGTGCCACTCAGTGAGGTCTGCAAACCCTATACCCCTCTAGCAATGTCACTGAGTCCACCACACCTAACCTTGGTCATTTATAAACTGTGTTCCCTTCACAAAATCCAATTGATTATTCCTGTGAAATATCCCCATCACACAACTACCTCCTCTTCCTCTGGAGCTCCTCTTACAGAATAAAGACATTTGCCACACAAACACACACACAAATTTATGATTTGCTATCTGAAGCAACTTCTCTTTTTCAGTCCTTAAATCCTAGGTCAGATTGAAAACAGCTCGTACTGTGACCCAGCAGGTAAATTCAATGAGTGAAGCAAGTGGGAACTTAAACTCATTACTATGAGTCAGAATAGATTCATAGCTGACCCTCCAAGAGGTCTTCTTGGGGCTATAGATTAAACAGAGATTGCTCATTTCTCTTATATGGAGCTGCTGGTGGGTTTGAACTGCCAAAGAGAAGCCACCTTCTTAGTGGCACAACTCCCAACTCTCAAAAAGCCTCATGGCCATTGAGTTGGAACCAACCCCATAGCTGATCCTCCAGCAAGTTTTCAGAGGCTGTGAATCACATGGAGATCGCCCAGAGAATAGCTGGTGGATTTGAACCACCTGCCTTTGAGTTAGCAGAACTGCTTACCCACTAGAGCTCCTAAGCGGTAATCTGTTCCAAATGATCGACTCATATTGCCTGCTCTTACAATGCTTCAAATAAAACTCAAAAGCGAAGTAGTCATGTACCATCTGTAATTTTTACAATCTGGCATATTAACTAAAAAAGATATATCAAATGAAGGTCAAACAAGGCATACTTGCCCTCGGGTCAGATATGCAACTTGTGCTCTTGTTGTTATGTGCCGTCGAGTCGCTCATAGCGACCCTATGTACAACAGCCCTAAACCCTGCTCTGTCCTGTGCTAATCTCACTGCCTCTGACACACCCGTCCCAATTACCCCAGTCACTGAATCAATCCACCTCATAGAGGGCCTTCCCCTCCTGCACTGTCCCTCCACCCTCCCAAGCATGATGTCCCTCCCCAAGAACCTCTCCCTCCTTACAATATGTCCAAAGTATGTCAGACAAAGCCCCAGAATCCTTGCCTCCTTGTGCTCTAGACTATAAAAATGTTTAAAAATGTGTGTGTGTGTGTGTGTGTGTGTGTGTGTGTGTATGTGTGTATGTGTGTATGAAAGGTTCTTCAATATTATGCTTCTTACTCACAGAATCTCTTTTTTTTTTAAATGAAAGTTTACAGAGTCTTTGGATTTCCATTCATTCGTAGTTGCACACTTTCCTCCCAGCCCACCCTTTCCCCTCCAGTTCACTTTTCTTTTTGAAAAGTAAAAATAAAACAACAACAACAACAAAACTTTCATTGTTCTACCATCCCCCACCTCAGTCCACTCCACTATGCAGCTTTCATTCTGGACTCTTGTCATGACAATAATATCTAATCATATATTCCTCCTAAACTGTTCTCTCCCTCAACTGTTTCAATGCAGTATACTTTATGTATCTCCTCTTAGTTTTCCCCAAACCCCGATGTCAGTCCCACTTTACAACAGTGACACTACGCAATATTTGTCCTTTTGTGACTGAGATACTTCACTTAGCATAATGCCCTCCAGGGTCACCCATTTTGTATACTATTTCCCGAGTTCCTTGTTTTTCAATGCCGCATAGTATTCCATTGTGTGAATATACCAAAGTTTCTCTATCCATTCATTTGTTGATGAGCACTTGAGTTGTTTCCAACTCTTTGGTACTGTGAACTAAGCAGCAATAAACATGGGTGTGCATATATCTGCTTGGGTGGCAGTTATGGTTTCTTTAGAATATATTCCCAGTATTGGAATTGCTGGGTCAAATGATATTTCTATTTGCAACTTTTTGAGAATGTGCCATATTGCCTTCCATAGTGGTTGCACCATTTTACACTCCCACCAACAGTGAATAAGGGTTCCAGTTTCTCCACAACTTCTCCAGAATTTGTTGTTTGGTGTTCTATTTTGTTATTCTGACTGGGGTGAGATGGTATCTTATAGTTGTTTTGAACAATATCTTTCTTAATCTTCTAAGATCTTTATTGAATTATTCGCAAATTTGTAGTGCAGGGAGCTCTGGTGGCTTAGTGGTAAGATGTTGCTTTCCCAAAGGCATGCGTTTCAAACCCACAAGCCGCACAACCCACAAGGAGATGGGCAATCTCCTCCCGTGGGATTTACTGCCTTTGAAAAGCCTTATATAGAGAGGGTCAGCTAGGAATAGGTTTTGACTCCGAGGTGCACAAGAAGTTATAGTGCTTAACCATATTGAATTATGTTCTTTATCTCACACAGATCTCTCAAAGGCACAAACTATATATATATATATATATATATATATATATATATATATATATATATATATATATATATATATATATATATATATATATATATATACATATACATATTTGTATATATACATATATTAATATTCATATTCATATATATCCACGTATATATGCCATCAGCACTTATCCAGATGCTTGATACATAGTAGGTTTTCTGTACATTTTCATTGCATGGAAGAAATTTGCTCATCTCTGGCGTTTCCTTGGCTGATTTGGAGAGCAGCACAAAACTCTCCAATGACCTCCAATGACCATTAGAGGGCAGACTGATTCCACAGAGGTCTGGACCAGAGGCGCAGCCGTCCAGTGCCCCCATCTGCACTTCTGCAGGTTGTTTCCAACACCGACTCTCACAGCAGGTCATTTCCAACACCTACTCTCACAGCTACCACAGATCCCATTTTAGCAATTCTTTTCCACGCAAAGCAAATACACATCCGCGTTCCAAAAGTGGCCCTCAGATCGCATCTTCTTCCCACTCTCCCAAAGAAAGTTACTGCGAGCTTTTGGGAACTGAAGAGTTAACGGCGTCCTCCCACTAGGTACTTCTTTCCTCAGTTAATTCTAATTTACCTGATGGAGGAGTGGAAAGAGAACGAGAGGGGATGTATATAGATGGACTGGGTAACCAGGACGCTGGGCTCACCTCCTTTAACGCCCTTTCTAGAAACCCTCGACAGCCTTTCACCCCACCCGCAGACCCCCGCACATCCACACACTCACACCTTTTTCTGCCAGGATCCCAAACTGGCACATCTCTTACCCAGATAGAACCTGGTGGGAGAGGAGAGGCAAGGTGGACGCGGGGGGCCTCAGGGTGAGTCACTCACCCCCCCCCCACACCCACCCCTCAATTCCGTTCTCCTTCCCACTTCCCACCCTCACGAAGCAGCCCCTTCTACAGGCAGGAACACGTTGAACAGCAAAGAAGCAGGAAGAGGGTCTAAGGGGAGAAACACGCAAGCTCGGGTGTCGGTTCGGGTGGAGGTAGGGGAAAGATCTGCAGACTTCGAGGCGGGAAGGAAGGAGTTAAAGATTGGCTTTTCGGTCACTAAGTCTGGGAAGGGAAGCGGCAGGGAGGGAGGGTTTAGAGCTTGACCCGGGTGCTCCTCGAGGCCCCCACCCCTCCGCCCCCAGAGCCCGAGACTCGGGCCTGCCGGACGCCCCTTCTGGCACACTCCCTGGGGCAGGCATCACGCACGCATACAAACACTCACACTCTGGCGGCTTCCCTCCCTCGCGCCCTTTCCTAGCCTCCGCGGCACGCTCGCTTCTGTTTCAATCTTCCTCCCTTCCCCCCATCTCTGTCTGCCTCTCTCTCCACCCTCTTTCTCTGTCTCTCGCTCTCTCACACACACACTAACACACACACACACTCACTTTCAGATCCTCCGAACTCGGGCACGCTGGTTTCCGCGCCCACCTGCTCTTCTGCGGCACCCTCAGCGCGCCCTGCCCAGGACACGACCGTCTGCCGCGCGCCCCGACCCTGCCCGTCGCAGCCAAAGGAGGTGCCCCGGGGTGAGCGTCCCTGCCACTCTCCTCCCTCGCGCAGGGTCGCGCAGGGTGCCCGGATCGTCCCCTGAGGCGAAGGGAGCCGAGGAAGCCATGGCGGGAGCGCTCCCCCGCGGCGGTGCACGCTGAGACCATGGCCGGCCCCCGGCGCCCCTCGGCGGGCGCGCGTCTGCTTCTGCTCCTCGCGCCTCTACTGCTGCTGCTCCGCGGCGCCCACGCAGGCAACCTGACTGTGGCCGTGCTGCTGCCGCTGGTCAATACCTCGTACCCGTGGTCGTGGGCGCGCGTGGGGCCGGCGGTGGAGCTGGCTCTAACTCAGGTCAAGGCGCGGCCCGACTTGCTGCCTGGCTGGACAGTCCACACGGTGCTGGGCAGCAGCGAGAATGCGCTGGGCGCCTGCTCGGACACCGCCGCCCCCCTGACCGCGGTGGACCTCAAATGGGAACACAACCCCGCGGTGTTCCTGGGTCCGGGCTGCGTGTACGCGGCCGCCCCGGTGGGGCGCTTCACGGCGCACTGGCGGGTGCCATTGCTGACGGCGGGCGCCGCGGCGCAGGGCTTCGGGGACAAGGACGAGTACGCACTGACCACCCGCTCGGGGCCCAGCCACACCAAACTGGGCGACTTTGTGGCGGCGGTGCACCGACGGCTGGGCTGGGAACGCCAGGCGCTTGTGCTGTACGACTATCGGCCGGGAGAGGACCAGCCCTGCTTCTTCGTCGTGGAGGGACTATATATGCGGCTCCGCGACCTCCTCAACATCACAGTAGACCATCTGGAGTTCGCCGAGGGCGACCGCGACCACTACGCCGCGCTGCTGCGGACCGTGCGGCGCAAGGGCCGAGGTGAGTGGCCGGCACGCCCAGCCCCGCTGCTTTGCGCCCAGGGCCTTCTTTTCCGTGTGATGGTGAAACAGGTGAAGATCTTCATTTTCTCTCCTCTGGATCAGACTTCTTTCCCCTCCTAAAGGCTCTTCATTCTTGTCTCAGGCTCCATCCGACTCTACTCTCCCATCACCCACCCCACCCTTAAATTTACCTCCCTGTCTTCTCTCCCACCCAATCCCTCTGGAATTAACCCATTGCAGTCAAATCAGTTCTAGCACAACAGCGACAGAGAAGAGAGCCCACGTGTTACAGAGTAGAACTGAGCTCCTTTGGGCTTCCCTGACTGTAACTCTCCCTTATGGACTGTCTCATTAACCGACATTTCACATTTAACTAGCACAGTAAAAACAAAACAAAAGCAAAGACCAAAAAAAATTCCCTCCTGTCTGATTTCCTTTGCACATTGACAGAATGCATCTGGTGTAACACATGCTGAGGACAGAGGAATGATTATAGTTTATGAGATTTGACTGAGATGGTTAGGACGGTGTGTCAACGTGACCAGCTCACGGTTCCTAGTGATTTGGGGGTTACATAATGATGTAGTCATCCTCCATTTTGTAATCTGATATGGTCTCCCATTTATTTTCGAACAATTTTGATGATTTTTGCACAGTGACTGGATCTTTGGAACCTAACTATGTGGGTAAATGAGGAGTGAGTGGTAATCTTTTACAGAAGCTGGTCACCAAGCCTTCCTCGAGGAGCATGGCTGGGAGGGGACAAGCTGCCCATCTTTATGTTGGTAGCTGGGTTAAGAGAGGGAGAAATTGCTGTACATCAATCTGGCATTTAGTAGGCCCCTGGAGTAGTTTTCATCCCTTTTCCCTCCTTCATTGTCTGTCTCTTCAGAGACTTCTCCCTCCATCTCCCCTCCCATTGCTCCTCCACACTGTCCTCTCTTAGTCTCCTCTCCAGCTGACTCCTCCTCTCCTTTCCCACCTCTTCTGGCCCTGTCTTCCACATCTTCAGCTCCTCTACTCTCCCCTCTCTCTCCCACTCTGATCTTTCCACTTTTCCACTCTCTCCATCTCTTCTTCCCACCCTTCATTTCTCTCCTACCTCAACTTGAATGGAGCCCAGTGTTATCACTTCCTGACTACCAGGAGTCAGTCCTCAGGATCATTCATGTCCCCTCTCTGAGCTTCCTCTGAGTGTCCCAGTCTTCCTATCTAGTGTTCCCCCATCCTTTCTTCCCCAGGACCTAGCTTCTGTCTTGCTGACTCCTTTTTCTCCTCCAGTTATCTACATCTGCAGCTCCCCAGATACCTTCAGAACTCTGATGCTTCTGGCCCTGGAAGCTGGCCTGAGTGGAGAGGACTATGTTTTCTTCCACTTGGACCTCTTTGGGCAAAGTCTACAAGGTGCACACAGCCCTGCACCCCGGAAGCCCTGGGAGAGAGGGGATGGTCAGGATGCCAGTGCCTATAAGGCCTTTCAGGTGAGCCAAGCCAAGTACAAATCTGAGAGGTGGATTCCCAAGCAGCTGGGGTGTCAGGGTCCTAGAAGGATTGGAGTCTGCTCTCAACTGTCCTTTTTCCACTGACCCCTTCCTCAGGCTGCCAAGATCATTACCTACAAAGAGCCAGATAATACTGAGTACTTAGAATTCCTGAAACAGCTAAAGCACTTGGCCCATGAGCAGTTCAACTTCACCGTGGAAGATGGCCTGGTAAGAGAAGCCCCTGCTCTGGGATCCTCCTGGGATGGACTCCTGCCCTGACCCCATGACCCTTGCCAGGCTGCACCCTGTCTTCTCTGCCATCTTGCTATTCCCAAGTTTACTCTTCTCTCTCCTTTCCCATGTTCCCATGTCTCTCTTGATGACGTAGGAGGATACTGATATACTGTTTAACCTATGAAACTGGGTTTCATGAGTAAAATGAGGGCCTCCTTAGAAATTAAGGCATCTTATAAGTAGTAAAATCTCCTTCACTTGAGAATCTTCTTACTGCATTCTCTTACAAATCCCCGGTGTCTCCTGTTACCTCTGCACAGTGCCTGCTGCACACTCCAACCCCAACCAAGTTCAGTTTGCTCCTACAGGTGAACATCATCCCAGCATCCTTTCACGATGGGCTCCTGCTCTACATCCAGGCAGTGACAGAGACTCTGGCACAAGGGGGTACTGTAACTGATGGAGAGAACATCACTCAGCAGATGTGGAATCGCAGCTTCCAGGGTCAGAGCCTATTACTCGTTGCTGTTGAATTGGAACCAACTCATAGCCAACCCTTTATGACGACTGTGGTTCTGAGGTTATAAACTTATGCATGAAAGGAGATGGCCCATCTTTTCCTGATGGAATTATTGTTGTTGTAATACAACATTGAGTCTGAATCGACCCATAGCTGACCTTCCAGCAGGTTTTCAGAGGCAGTTAATCAAACGGGAGGAAACTGCCCATCCTTCTCCTGGGGAGCCCCATCCTTCTCCTGCTGAGCTGCTAGTGGATTCAAAGTGCAGCCTTTGAGTTATGCGCATAACTCCCTGGACTGTGCCACCAGGAGGCTGGAAATGGGCGCCTCAGGGAGTGCAGTACACAGTCACTCTGGAGTCATGCTGGTCTCCTCCCTTCTGCTAACAATAAGCTTACTTCAGGCCCTCCTCCCTGTCTGCACCAGGCCCATCAAGAAACCCTCCCAAGAACCCAGCCTCAACCATTCCTGCTGCTGAAGTGTCTGTCCTTTTATCATTACTCAGCAAATATATATATACACACATATATATGTATATATATATATGTGTGTGTGTGTGTATACATATATATATATATGTTAGGAGGATAAGCCAGAGAGGGTCAGGGATGGAGAAACGCGGAGGTGGGTTTTATAAGTAGTAAAATCTCTCCATCATAGGGATGGGGTGGATAGGGATGTTATCCACTTCTCACCATCTTCCTCCTTCTCAGTGCCAGATCACAGACGTCTCTCCCACTCTCTCTAGGTGTGACAGGATACCTGAAAATTGACAGCAATGGAGATCGGGAGACTGACTTCTCCCTCTGGGATATGGATCCTCAGACTGGTCTTTTCTGGGTAAGTTTGTGCCCTCAGCAGATAGTGTTAGGCTAAAAGTCAGAATGGAGGTTGAAGCTCAACTCAGAAATCCCTACTGAAACCAAAACTCAGAAAATCCTATGTCAGGACATTTTCCAAAACCAGAACTCAGAAAATCCTATGTCTGGACATTCCCCAGAACCAGAACTCAGAAATTCCCATATTAGGACCTTTTCCAAAACCAAAAACTTTATGTACCAGTGAGCTACTGCAACGTCAACTCATCTCACAACCCCCTAAAATATCCTTGCTGAAACCCCATATAAACCCCCCTAAGCCCAACCCCCAGTGCTACTCCCCTTGCTGAGTAGCCCGGCACTCAATAAACTTTGAGAAGAATTCCACCTCTACCTCAGCGTGGTTCTTGGCTTCAATCCGAAACCTTTCAGATAGTACCAACTCAGAATGACATCTTGCCTTGCTTCCTCCTCCCACAGCCCTGCTGGGGTATCTGTTAATTCTGAAGTCACTTAGAGAGAACTTTGGATAAAAAGAGATGCAGCTCCAAGCTAGAGGATGAATCAGAATGATAGATACAAGTCGTACCCTTGGGGACCTCATGTCTGAGGAGGAGATACAGTCTTCCCCTTGAAAGCTCCCTGTCCAATAAAGTAGATGGGATTTCCTCACAGCAGAGATGGACTCTCTAAGTACAGTTAGGAACAGGGAGGCACTGAGGACGAGAGGAACGAGGCCTGGGAATATGGATTGAGGAAAATACTGCCTTTCGTGTTGCCTAAGTACTCCAACGCAAGATTATAAACTCCTTGAGTATAAGGATGGAGGTTTTTAAACCTTGGTACTTTAACAATATGAAGTCTGAGCATGGAGTTCCTCTGTGTCTAGTCCCAGCAAGGGCTTGGCAACCCGGATACAGGTCATTGATAAATAAAGATGAGGCAAATTAGGAGACATGGGCGAAGAAGGCCTCAGCCCGGGTCTTGCCTGCCCACCACTCCTCTTCCTCCTCTGTAGGTTGTACTCAACTACAATGGGACTTCCCAAGAGCTAGTGACCATGCCAGGGCGCAGACTGAACTGGCCCCTGGGATACCCTCCTCCTGATATCCCCAGATGCGGCTTTGACAATGAGGACCCTGCCTGCAACCAAGGTGATTGCACCCACCCCCCACCTTTCAGGCTCCCCACTCCCATCCCCAGGGGAGGCAAACAGATGTTCTTCTCCCTCCCTAAGGATTCTATGGAGAAAGGCCGGCCCCTCCCACCTTCTTCCTGCTCTTTTAGCCATCATTTGTGTTCATTGATTAACTAAGCTGCGGGTTCCTCCTCCTGCTGTCTAGCCAAAATCTCTTTTGCCACAACTTGAATTCTTGCCTGCAGATGATTTCTCCACCCTGGAGGTACTGGCTTTGGTGGGCGGCCTCTCCCTGCTCAGCATTCTGATTGTCTCTTTCTTCATATACAGGTAAGCTGTGGGAGAGTGGTGAGCAAGGCTGGGGATGAGGAGGGGTAAGGGAGGAACAGCTGAGGAAGGTGGAGGGAAAGGAGGAGGTGAAAGATTGAAAAGCTTTAGGACAGGGAAGAAAGTAGTTCAAGATGGGAGGAGAGAGGGGAACAGGGGAGGCTGAGGGCAATCCACAGGGGAGCAGAAGCATTTCAGGGGTGGGGGGTTCTGGCCTGTGAGCTGTTTAATCTTCTCTTCTTACTTCTTCTGCTGGTCAGAGGGGAAAGAGTGGTCCACAGTCTTTGGGATTGGAACCCTATTATTTGAGAAGGGATGTTGACTATACTAGATGCTGACTCAGAGCAGAGGAAAGATGAATGAATTCAGTCCTACCTTCCAATGAGACGAATGAAACAGAAAGTATAGGTGAAACCAAGTTGTTCTCTGGAGGCAAGGATTTTGAAGCTCTGTCTCACATGCTTTGGACACATTGCCAGGGGGGTTCAGTCCTTGGAGAAGGACATCATGCTTGGAAGAGTGAAGGAACAACGCAGGAGAGGAAGAACCGAGATGAAATGGATTGACACAGTGACTGGGATAATAAGGACAGATGGATGTGTCAGAGATAGTGAAATTTGCTCAGGATAGGACAGGGTTCAGCGCTATTGTGCACAGGGTCGCTATGAGTTGAAGATGACTCGATAGCACATAACAAAGGAGAAGTTAACAATATAGGAAGAAGGAGAAAAAAAATCAGTGCTAGTTGAGCATATCAATGTGCCAGGCACTGCCATCAACAGTATTTCTTTTATTCTTATAACCATGCTTTGAGATATATATTGAGATCTCCAATTTCCAAAATTGGTTTCAATTGAATTAAAATTTCAATTGCTTTCATTTCATTTGTTTCATATGAAAGTCGGACAATGCAGAAGGAAAACCGAATGGTGCCTTTGAATTGTGATGTTGGCAAGAGTATTGCATATATATTCATGGGCTCCCAACAGAACAAATCTGTCATGAAGTACAACCAGGGTCTCCGTAGAAACAAGGGTGGTGAGACTTTGTCTCACATACTTTGGGCATATTGTCAGGATGTCTTAAAAAAAAGACATTATGCTTGGAAAAGTAGAGGGTCTGAAAAAGAGAGGAAGACCCTAACGGGGCGGGGGGATGGATTCCCATAGTGACAGTGACAATGGACTTGATCGTGGTGAGATTGTGAGGATAGTGCAGGAGAAGGTAAGGTTCTGCTCTGGTGTTTATGGGTCAGTTAGTCATAGTTGGTTAGATGGCACCTAACAACAATTCTCAAATGAGGGCATTGAAACTCACAACAATTAGATATTTCAAGGCCACTCACCTCTCAAAATTGCTGCCGTCGAGGCAATTCCAACCTACAGGCCTTATATTTGCTATAAATCTTAATTGGAGGAAATAGCCCATCTTTCATCCTCAGAGCAGCTGGTGGTTCAAACCAGCCGTGGCACATGGTCTTTTGGTTAGCAGCACAATACATGCTACCAGAGTTTCTACTTCTAGGCCACAGTCAAGTCGAATTTCTCCCAAACCTCCTGAATCTCAGCTCAGAGGATATAATTGTCATGCTGGCTTTTCTAGTGAGCCCTGGAGATATGTTGTTGTTGTTGTGTACCATTGAGTCGGAACCGACTCACAGCTCACCCTCCAGCAGGTTTTCAGAGGCACTTAATTGCAGGGAAATTGCCTATCTTTCTCCCATGGGTAATATAGAGGCATAGTGTGTAACATTAGTGGGCTGCTAACTGAAAGGTTAGATCCTTCACTCAGATCCACCAGTCAGATGGGTTGTTAATTGCTGTTATGTGCCGTCAAGTTACATATACAAGTTACGACATATAGCGATCCTGTGCACAATAGCTCTGAACCCTGCTGTATTCTGAGCCAGTCTCACTGTCTCTGACACACCTACCCTCATTACCCCAGTTACAGGTCAATCCATCTCACCCAGGGTCTTCCTCTCCTGTGCTGTCCCTCGACCTTTCCAGCATGGTATCCTTCTCTAAGGACTTGTCCCTCCTGGTAACATGCCCAACATATGTGAGATGGAGTCTCAAAATCCTTGCCTCCAGTGCAACAATGAATGAATGGAAATCCTAAGTCTCTATAAATTTTCATTGAAATGAATAAATTTTAAAAAGAATCCTTGCCCTGGTTTCAACCTTTCTAGGACAGACCAGTTAGGTCTCTTGGCAGCCCATGGTATGTACAATATTCTTCTCCAGCACCAGAACTTAGAAGGCATCCATTCTTCTCTTATCTTTGGTCATTGTCTGTCTCTCTGATGCATAGCAAGTATTTGCATGGTCTGGATCAGGCACACCTTAGTCTCTACATTGACATCTTTGCTCTTCAGCACTCTGGAGAAGTCCCTCACAGCAGACTTTCCTAATGCAATTCATCTTTTGATTTCCTGACTTCTGGTGCCAAGAGTGCTGATTGTGGAACCAAGCAGCTGTAATTGTTAACAACCTCAATCTCTTCTCCATCTATCACGATGCTGTGGTATCCTCTCATAAAGATTTATGGTCTCAAAACCCAACAGAAGGATGCTATGAGTTGGAATTGAACACAAAGTGAACACAAACTCACAAAACTCATTCCTTCTACCACTCATCTGTCCGTTTGTTGTACTGTAGTGTTTTGTGTGTTGAGTCTATGCTGGATTCTGTGGAATTCCGTGTATTGGCATAGTCACCCATCACACACAGGTTTCAGCAGAACTTCAGATTACAAAAGGCTTCATAATCTACTTCTGAAGATTATCCAATGAAAATCTTACAAATAACAACAGAATCTTGCCTGAAATCATTCAAGGAAACCAGCCCCCTGCTCAGGAAGGCACAGAATGGCTTCCGCAATGGGCTCAGGCAGAACCATGGTCATGAAGATGGTGATGCAGAACAGGGCAATGTTTGGTCTGTTGTACACGGGTTCATCCAACGAGGGTTGGAGCCAATTCAGTGGCAACTAATAACGTCAGTCTCCTAGCATAAGTAGTGAGTCTGCTCTTCATACATGCAGTGGGGAGCCAGGGCTCTGAGGCAAGACTGCTGACCCTCCTACCCTGCGTCAAGGATGTAGGCATGGGCTAAGCTGCAACTACACTTCCCCAGGAAGCTGCAGCTGGAGAAAGAGCTGGCCTCAGAGCTGTGGAGGGTGCACTGGGAGGACTTACAGCCTAGCAGCCTTGAGCGGCACCTGCGGAGTGCTGGTAGCCGGCTAACCTTGAGTGGGGTAAGAACATGGCAGGGAGCGGGGCACAGGGGCCAGTGCATGCTACAAAGGGTAGAGAGTGGGGCTCTAGGCCCATCTCTGCCTTCACTTGCTGTATGACCTTGGGCAGCTGAGGTTTCCTCTCAAAGACTGTCTCAGAGGGATAATGATATCTGAGAACTTTCCACACAGGGCCCTTGATCTCAAAGGTCAAAGGAGATAATAAATGTGAAAACACATTTTGAAAAATAAATGGAGAAATAATTTAATGATGTGAAAGGCAAGGTGGGGGAGGGAGGCAGAAAGCTAGGACTTGGTGGTTAAGATGGAGCTTGGGCAGCCAGGGTGCAAAGTGGGACCATTGTGGAGGGGCCCTGGCTGACTGTCCCTCCTGGTTTCCTTGTCTTCAGAGAGGCTCCAATTATGGTTCCCTGCTAACCACAGAGGGCCAGTTTCAAGTCTTTGCCAAGACAGCATATTACAAGGTGGGCCTGGGGAAAGGTCACTGACCCTTAGGGCTAGGGCAGGGGTGTGCTTTGAGGGACGGTGAGCGAGGTTCACCAGGGGCAGAAACACACCATCAGGGAGCAGCTGAGAGTTCTGAGGGTTTGCTGGCCACGTAATGGGGGGGAGCGGGGGCCGGAAGCAGAGATGAGATGTCAGAAAGCAGTCCGGGGCCTCAGGGTTGGGCTGTTAGCAGCACTTGAGGGTCTCAGGGATGAGGCGAGCTGTTCCAAGCAGCTGGAGTTCCCAGGGCCACACACACTCCTCACACTAACAATCACTGTTCTCTGCCCAGGGCAACCTCGTGGCTGTGAAACTCGTGAATCGCAAACGCATTGAGCTGACAAGAAACGTCCTGTTTGAACTGAAGCATGTAATGCAGGGAGAGGGGTGGGGGGAGTGAGGCAGCGATCTGGGGAGGATCCTTGGGCAAACAAAGGAGGCTGACCACAGAACTGGTTGCAGAGGGACACACACACACACACACACCCGGGGGAAGGAGCAGGGCTATGCTTCTGATGTGAACCTTTGCATATTGGCGGGAGTGAGGGGTTAAAACAGATACCTTGGAGGAAGACCCTGGAAGAAGCTCCTTGGGTTGGATCACTTAGGAAGTAGGGAGAGAGAAAGGAGCAAACACTCGAGTGGACTATAAACATGACCCTCCTTCATCAAGGAGAGTCCAGGAGATGTCTGCAGGCAACAAATAGGGACTTAAAGAGTAGGAGGAGTCCCTGAAGATGGAGGCGTGACGTCTCTGTCAGGTTCTTGATACTGGCTCCCATTTGCAGATGCGAGATGTTCAGAATGAACACTTGACCAGGTTTGTGGGTGCCTGCACTGATCCCCCCAACATCTGCATCCTCACAGAGTACTGTCCCCGGGGGAGTCTGCAGGTGAGGGGGTCAAGGTGTTGTTAGGAAGCCTGGGCTGTAGCCCCGGCTCTGTGCCTTTCTGGTCCTATGCCCCCCCCCCAAGTCCCTCCCTCTGGCTTTCACTTCTCTGTGAAATGGGAGTGGGAGGAGGGCAGTGGCCCTAAAGTTAAGTGCAAAGTTTTGTCCTATTTGGCCACTTTAAGCCAGTAAGATGCCTGCACCCTCCTCCCATGCCTGGGGAGCCTATAGGGTGCAGGTCTGACTTTCCCTGCCCCAGTAGGACATTCTGGAGAATGACAGCATCACCCTGGACTGGATGTTCCGCTACTCCCTCACCAGTGACATCGTCAAGGTAGGCCCAGGAGAGCCCGTCAGATGTGTGGGAGCGGCCACGCACACTTCTCCTTGGGCCAAGATTGTGCCCAAGACCCCTGCCTTTCCAAACTCCCCAGGGTATGCTGTTCCTACACAATGGGGCCATTTGCTCCCATGGGAACCTCAAGTCCTCCAACTGCGTGGTAGATGGGCGCTTTGTGCTCAAGATCACTGACTATGGGCTGGAGAGCTTCAGGGACCTGGATCCTGATCAAGGACACACCCTCTATGCCAGTAAGTTCCACTCTGGACACCTAACGTCAGCCGCCAATGACGTTTAACAGAGAGGCAGAGGTCTGGCCTCTGGGGGAGCGGGGGGGGGGGGGGGAACACTCATTCTCTGGTTCCAGGCTCAATTTTCCATCTGTAAAGAGGGAGGTCAGACCAAGGGGGGCTCTCAGTTTTCTTCTAGCACTAATATTACATGTGATATTTCCAGATGAGCCCTGAACGTATTGTTGAATTCTCATTTTCTACTCATCCCTAACTCTGGGGTCATTCACCCAGAGATGCCTCCTCACTTCTGACCTGCAGAAAAGTTGTGGACAGCTCCTGAACTTCTTCGAATGGCTTCACCCCCTGCCCGGGGCTCACAGGCTGGCGATGTGTACAGCTTTGGCATCATCCTTCAGGAGATTGCTCTGAGAAGTGGGGTCTTCTATGTGGAAGGCTTGGATCTCAGCCCCAAAGGTGAGAAGACCATGCTGTCTCCATGCCTCCACCATAACTGCACCAACCCAGACCTTATGAGTCGTTAGTTGCTGTCGAGTCGATTCTGACTCATAGTGACCTCTAGGGTACAGAGTAGAACTGCTCAATAGAGTTCAAGGCTGCACTGCGACCTTTTAGAAGTAGACTTCCAGGCCTGTCTCCAGACGCAGTGCTAGGTGGGTTTCAACTGCCAGCCTTTCAACTTGTGGATGAGCACAGAACTATCTGTGCCATCCGTGGCCTTCCCCTGAAAACACCCATCAGACTTGCCTCTGGGATGGGGCGCACTCATTAGCCTGTGTTCCATTGCTGCCACTCTCTATGCCAGTGACAGTGACAAATTCACTTAGCCCTGCTCATTGCCTAGGGCCTAGACTCCCCCAGCTGGCTGCCCTGCTTTTCCATAGGCCCTTGGCCAACTCTACTTCTCAGCCCCTCCCCCCTAAATACAGAAATCATCGAGCGTGTGACTCGGGGTGAGCTGCCCCCCTTCCGGCCCTCCCTGAACCTACAGAGTCATTTGGAGGAGCTGGGGCAACTGATGCAGCGGTGCTGGGCCGAGGACCCCCAGGAACGGCCGCCCTTCCAGCAGATCCGCCTGATGCTGCGCAAGTTCAACAGGTGGCTCTCAGTGTGGACACGGCCGCGCTGCTCCAGTCCCACTGCCACAACATACTCCACTCTTAGGCCTTTTCCCTGCAGTGGCTAAGAACCCCCTCGGCTCCCCCCATACATAGCCTACTTCAGCCTCAAAGTCCCCGTGTGACTACTGTATGACTCAGCTATCCCCACAGTCCCCTAACTTTCATCCCCTCTGATCCACCAACCTCACCACCCCACATCCTTCCGGGCTTACCTCTCCACTGGTGTCTCAGTGGTGTGCAGAGTGAATAAGCCACACACCTCTGCCCTCACTTCCTCCCCTGCAGTCCCTCTGCCCTCTACAGAGGCCTCCACATCACTCTTTAATCTCTCTCCTCCTTAATGGCCCTGGGGGGCCCAGTTCCTCCAAGCACTTCCCTGTGTGTTCCCAGCTTTCTTCTTCTTCTTCTTTTTTTTTTGTTGTTGTTTTGTTTGTATGTACAGTCAAATCAGATCTGACTGGTACAGAAGGAGATTTCCCCTCCTCTCCAGCAGAGCATCTGGTGGATTCGAACTGTGTACCTTTGAGATTGCAGTGCAGCTTCTTGCTAGGCCACCAGAGCTCCCTCACAGCTCTCTTCTTAACTGAGCCTAGTCTCTTTACATCTCTTCTGCTTCCTTTTAATTCACTTGTGCTCAACAAAGATGAAAAAAGTATTCAATGTGTCTGAAATTCATACCTCACCCGGGGTCTCAGAGAGGCACTCAATTTTCTTCTCATTGTTTCCTCTGCCACACTTATCTTTCTGTGTCCCCCAACTCTAAAACCACTGAATTTGGGGTAGATTGACCTGACTTGGGTCGGGTGAGTGCATCTCCTCTCTTACACGCACCCCACCCTCTGCCCCTCAGAGAGAATAGTAGCAACATCCTGGACAACCTGCTGTCCCGTATGGAACAATATGCCAACAACCTAGAGGAGCTAGTGGAGGAGCGCACTCAGGCCTATCTGGAAGAGAAGCGCAAGGCCGAGGCCCTGCTCTACCAGATTCTGCCTCAGTGAGTGCCCGCAGCCCCGTCTGCCCCCTACAGCCCTGCTGGGCCCCACCACGTCCCCTGACCCGGCACTGTCCCTGACCCCTCAGCTCAGTGGCTGAGCAGCTGAAGCGTGGGGAGACAGTCCAAGCTGAGGCCTTTGACAGCGTCACCATCTACTTCAGTGACATTGTGGGTTTCACAGCCCTGTCGGCAGAGAGCACACCCATGCAGGTAAGCAGCTGGGCCCTCAGCCCCAGAGGCGGAGGCTGAGATACACATGGAGACCCAAGCATGGAGCCACAACATAATCCACACCGAGCCTTTTCCCTGCAATGCCTAAGAACCCCCTCAGCTCCAAGGGCTCAGAGACAGAACGGCACACTGCACACCCCGGTTGCAGGCAGCAGGCAGTGGGCTGGACTCAGCATCTCTACTCCATCACCCTTGCCTTGTGAGGTCCCTTACTTCTGGCCTCTCTTGACTTCTCTTCCAGGTGGTGACCCTGCTCAATGACCTGTACACCTGCTTTGATGCCGTCATTGACAACTTTGACGTGTACAAGGTGAGCAGGAGCAGGATGGGAGGGAGCAGACAAACAGACACTACAGGGTCAGAAAGAGGTGAGGGACAGGTGGCATGACATGGAGTTTGTAAGAGAGGACAGCCAGGGACAGGGTGGGCCAGTGATAGGCAAGGAGCCCCAAGAATAGGCAGAGGAGCAGCAGCTTGGGGTGCTAGGTGGGCAAAGGCGGTGGCAGGCTGGGAGAGACTAAGTGGCAGACTGCGCACACGAGGTGGCCACACCCCAGCACCCGCTTTGCCGCAGGTGGAGACAATCGGCGACGCCTACATGGTGGTGTCAGGGCTCCCGGTGCGGAATGGGCGGCTGCACGCCCGCGAGGTGGCCCGCATGGCCCTGGCGCTGCTGGACGCTGTCCGCTCGTTCCGCATCCGCCACCGGCCGGAGGAACAGCTGCGCCTGCGCATCGGCATCCACACAGGCGAGTCGTTCGAAGAGCAGGGGTCCTCCGGAAGACCACAGGCCAACCCCTCCCTAACCGGCTCCTGCACCCCAACTTGCTGGGTTCCCACCGGCCTCGCCCCCCACCATCAGCCACACCTGGAGCTCTGCCTCTGTTTGTCCTTCCTCTTACTGCCCAGCCCTCCACCCTAGCTGACACGCCCTGCTCCCCGCCTGCAGGCCCCGTGTGTGCTGGTGTCGTGGGGCTGAAGATGCCCCGATACTGCCTCTTTGGGGACACAGTCAACACAGCCTCCCGAATGGAGTCTAACGGAGAAGGTACAGTGCCTCTCCTGGAGGGCTGGGGAGGGCAGGAACCAAGAGAACCCCACACAGCCTGTGGCAAGCCTTTTCACCTCCTAGCTCTCTCCTCCGGGTTTTCTCATAATAGCTCAGCCTGGGCTGATTCACTTTTACTTTAGTCAGAAACTTAGATCCCTGCTGCTTCCTCTTGCCTAGTGATTAACAAGTATTTCTGGGCCAGCCTTCAACAGTTCGCAGCTGGAGTCTCGCCTCCGGGGCCACTAGCATCCCTCCCCCATAAGGTAGGAGAGGTCCTTTCAGTCCACTTGGGTGTGAAGCTCCTGTCAGCCCACTTAGGTGTGAATCTTGACTCTTCCAGTTACTGTCTAGCTGTGTTGATCAGCAGAAACCTCCTTGAGCCCGAGTTTTCATCATGTATAAAACAAGAATAAAATACGTACTTCTTAGAATCTGATAAAACCAAAGATAATGAATGCTTAGCACATAATTGTCATTCACCCTTTCTGAGCCTCAGCTGTCAGGATGCTTCCACAGAAATTCCATAATGCCAGCACATGGTCTCTCACTCTCATTGCTTTTGAGTCAGAACCGTATCACCACTAACCCTCTAGTGGATTTTCAGAGGCTGTAAATCACATAGGAGGCCCATTTTTCTCCTGACAGTTCACACAGAAGGGACCTAATAAATGCCTGCTCCCACCTCTTCCCTTTCTCTCGCCTCCTGTTTTCACCTATCTGGCTCCATTATTCAGCACGATTCAATTCCATAAACAAGTACTGAGTGGCAGTCACTGGGTGCCAGGCCCTGGGATCCTCAGAGGACCCAGATCCATAGGGGGCCACTTTCAAGTGTTAAGGTGGGAGAAGGGCCAACCCTGGGTTTCAAAGGGGTCTGGGTCAGCACACTTTCTCAGACACTGTTAGAGGCATGGGTAGGAGAGAGAACATCTCATTGAAGCCCACCTCAGTGAGTACATTCTCAGAAATGGTTCAACGACCAAACAAGGCCCTGAAGTGGAAGGGACATGAGGTTAGAGGGACGCCTGTGGATGTAGGATACATGAGTCTGAGCCTCATTCTGCCGCTGACCTCGACAGCTTGGGTAGATTGTCCGTGGTCCCTGAATAGTCTGCTCTGCTCGCAACTAAAAGGTTGTCAGGTCACATCCAACCCATGGCACTGCAGAAAATCTGTTCCTATAAAAATTATAGCCAAGAAAATCTTATGAGCAGTTCTACTTGCTAACACATAGGGTCACCCTGAGTCGAAGTCAACTTCTCGGCCTGAAGTGCGGATGCTGAGTCAGTCATGCTGATAGCAGGGCATCTTATCATACTTCCTGTGCAGCACATTTTGTCGACATATTTCATAACTATTAGATTTAGTCCCCACAACAAGGTTTGGAGATGGGTACTGTCCCTCTTAGCATTTTACAGATGAGGAGAATGAGGTACAGATTGTTTCTATTACTGACCAAAGTGCCAAGTCATACTGAGGCAGAGATCTTTCTGAGTGACTAAAACATTCAATTATCAGTGCCAGAATCTAGTATGATTTGGTTACTTGAAACGTGTCAAGTGTAACTGAGAAACTAGATTTCTAATTTTATTTAGTCTCAGTTTATTTACATTTAAATGGCTACATGTGATGCCTTTGAGCTGTGGTGTTGGAGAAGAGTACTAAATATCCCATGGACTGCCAAAAGAACAAACAGATGTGTCTTGGAGAAAGTGCAGCCAGAATCTCCTTGGAGGCAAAGATGGCAAAACTGCATCTCACATACTTTAGGCATGTTATTAGGAGAGGGATGCTGTTAAGAGGGGCTCTTCCTTGGAGAGGGACATCATGCTTGGAAAGGTGAAGGGTCAGCAAAAGAGAAGAAGACCTTCAATGAGATGAATTGAGACAGTGACTGCAGCAGTGGGCTCAACTGTGTCTGTCAGAGATGGTGAGGATGGCACAGGATAGAACAAGGTTCAGGTCTGTTGTTTGTATGGTCACTATGAGTCATACACCACCTAACAACACATGAAAAGGGTGGGACTTGAGAACCAGACTCTGAAGTAGGAGGCTTCCTGGGCCAAAACAAGGAGGGAGGATATTTCTTTATACCCACAGTCCCTGGTTTCTTCAGTCTCCACTCTTTCTCCATCTCCTCTTGCCTCCCTCATTGTCCTTTCTTCTTCCTTATCTTCCCTAGCCCTGAAGATCCACTTGTCTTCTGAGACCAAAGCTGTCCTGGAGGAGTTTGGTGGTTTTGAGCTGGAGCTTCGAGGCGATGTGGAAATGAAGGTAGAAAAGGAAGCCTCCTCTGCCCACAGCACCTTGGGGATCCCAGAGGCTCTTGGGTTACCCTCTTCTAACCCCTCCTCAAGAAGCCATTCCCATCCCTGGACCCCGCATTTGATTTGGCAAAGTGATTGTGTCACTCTGCACCCCAGCGTTGTCTTCTTTTTCCCTGCAGGGAAAAGGCAAGGTTCGGACATACTGGCTCCTGGGAGAGCGAGGGAATAGCACTCGAGGCTGACCTGCCTCTCTCCGTGGCCCTCGACATTGCTTTTCTTCCTAAAAGAGACAGAGAGATGCCAGGCTTCAGTCTCACCACAGCAGCCCCACCATTATGGTTTGAACAACTGAAACATGGTGACTCCAGTGGAGAGAACAGATATTATCTCTGAAAGAGACCTGGGTCAAAGCCCCCAGCCATGCACAGAGGCACACATGCAAACACACACAACTGCTCTCCACACGAATCAGACCAGGCTGTGGTATGGATTCCTAGGTTCTCTGATCAGTCTCGATGCCTGCCCCCCTTAACTTTAATACACCGTGATTTGTATGGGGGGAGGGAAGAAGAAGCACTTTAGTTGGGATATGAAAAGAGACTATAGATTAATGAGGTCATGGGGATGGAATCCACCTCTGAGCTCACCTACATGGATTTCTGACACTCTCCATTCCATATCACTCATCACTGGGTTCCGTACACCAAGGGCGGGCAGCTCGAGGGGCTGCAGGACCTATATACATCGCTTCTACCGTGAGCAGAGACCATTAAACTCTTTACTCCAGTGGCACTATCTCTTCTTGAGGGGCTGATGGTTTATGGAAAATATAGTGGGGTCCTCCTCTCTCTTCTTCAAATAAGATCTACTTCTTAAGCTGGAAGTAAATTGTCTGAAAAAGGCTGTATGTAACTCACCCTTTTCAGGGTGTGAACAGCCTATGAATTACCCAGTGGTAATGATATTTTTTGATGTAAGGATCCAGTTACACCCTGCCTCCCTCCAAGAGCTATCTAGGGCCCTCAAGAGCTTTTAGTTTTGTGGGTCACATTATATCAATATTCATGATATCATAAATTAGAGAGCTCTGGTGGTGTAGTCTGAATGGAGTTGTGCTGCTAACCCAAAGGCTGAACTCTAGAGATCTGGATCCCCCAGCAGTAGCCTGCAAGAAACATAGGTAGTCTCTTCCCTTTACATTTATGGCCTTGGAAACTCAATGAAGGGTAGCTATGCATCAGAACTAATTCAAGGGCAAGGAGTGAGTAAAACAAAACCTCATGGATTTATTTTACATAATAAACCCACTGCCATCGAGTCAACTATGACTCAAACGACTCTCAACAATAGCTCTGAACCCTGTCCTATCATGAGCTAGTCTCACCTTACCCCCCTTCCATAGTCACTGTCAATCCATCTCATCTGGGGCCTTCCTCTCCTGTGCTGACCTTCTACCCTTCTAAGCATGATGTCCTTCTCCAAGGACTGGTTCCTCCTGGCAACAGGCCCAAAGTATGTGAGCTGGAGTTCCAAAATCCTTGCCTCCAAGGAGCAAACTGGTTTCACCCTTTTCAGGACAGACCTGTTTGTTCTCTTGGAAGTCTATGACATGTTCAATACTCTTGACCAGATCTCAGATGCATAGCAAGCAATTAAGAAGAGCATGATGTCATGCACAGTTTGAGGGGAGAGTATCTTTGCACTGTGAAATGGATCAAGTCAATTCCTGCCCTTAGTATAATTAAGTGCATGGAGACTGCCTCCTTTACATATTTTTAAAAAAAAAAGAAGAGCATGATGTAGATCAGATGCACCTTAGTCTCTAGACTGTCATCATTGCTCTTTAGCACTCTGGAGAGAGGTCATTGACAGCAGATTTTCTCCAGTGCAACTCATCTTTTGAATAACTGCTGGTGCCAAGAATGTCGATTGTGGTAAATGCATTCAGTGTTAATAATATATAGTGCTTTATAAAGGACATTCCCTAAAGAAATTTTGTTTACTCCCAGTATATATTAGGTGCCATTGAGTATGACTCACAGCAACCCAGTGAACAACAGATCTGAACCCCATCCTATCCTATGCCATCCTCCTCCTCTGACACACTTGAGCCCATTGCTGCAGTCACTCACATGTCAGTCTATCACATGGAGGGTCATCCTTTCTTTGCTGACCTTTCCAAACATGATGTTCCTTTCCAAGATATAGCCTCTCCTAACAACATGCCCATAGGATGGGAGATGAAACTTTACCATCCTTCTAAGGAACATTCTGGTATTTAGTTCCAATATATGGTAGTGATGATTATATAACTAGTGCCACTGACTTAACTTGTGCTAAGTTACCAGCAGCTATGACTGCCATTCTATTTCCATTTCTTTACCATTACTTTCATTTGCACCAATAGTGCAAATACCAATCCAGCTTAAAAGAAGGTAAATAAAGTATTGTTTATGAAAAGAAGGTTAATTTTGTTAGATGCTGTGTTCTGATGCATCGAAACCCCATTAATAACAGACAGAATATTGCTCAGTACTGGGCCATCCTTACAATAATAAGTGTGTTTGACCCTATTATTGCAGTCATATAGTATTAGTGTCACTGTGAAAATCTTTTGCTTTCAATGATCCCCTGTAAATGTTTTGGAGATCTCTAGGAGTTTATGGACCATGCTTGAGCACCACTATGTCAGATGGATCTTGGCTGAAAGCAGAGTACCAGAATAATGTTTATTTTTGTTCTATCAACTATTCAAAGGCATTAGACTGTGTGGATCACAACACGTTGTGGCTAACATTGAGAAGAATGGGAATCCCAGAGCACTTGATTGTGTCAGTCTTATATGCAGAACAGATCATGAGGGAGGCTGGACTTTATGGAGAAGAATGTGGCATCAGGATTGGAGGAAGACTTATCAACAACCTGCCTTATGTAGATGACACAACTTTGCTTACTTCAACTGAGGAAAACCTGAAGCATTTGCTGCAGAAGGTCAAAGACTGTAGTCTGCAATATAGATTGCAGCTCAACATCAAGAAAACAAAAATTCTCACCTCTGGGCCAATTGGTAGCATCATGATAGATGAAGAGATTGAGGCTGTTAAAAATTTTATTTTCAGGGTTCCGATCCACCGTATGCTTTGCTGAAGAAGGAGGGACAATCTCCTCCTGTACCAGTCAGAGCTGATTTGACAGTACACACAAAAATAATAAAAAAATAAAAAATTTAATTTTGCTCAGATCCACGATCACCAGCAGTCAGGAAATCGAAAAAATGAGTTGCCTTGGAAAAATCTGCTGTCAAGGACCTCTCCAGAGTGCTAAAGAGCAATAATATCAATCTAGAGACTAAGGTGAGCCTGATCTAGGCCATGGTCTCCTCAATTGCTTGTTATGCATCTGAGAGCTGGACTGGACAATGATTAAGGATGACAGAAAAAGAATTGATGCTTTTGAGTTGTGGTGCTAGAGAAGAGTATTGAACATACCATGGACTTCCAAGAGAACAAACAGGTCTGTTCTGCAAAGGGTGAAACCAGTTTGCTCCTGGGAGGCAAAGATTTTGAAACTCTGTCTCACATAGTTTGGGCCCATTGCCAGGAGGGACCAATCCTTGGAGAAGGACAGGAGAGGAAGACCCCAGATGAGATGGATTGACACAGAGACTGGGGCAATGGGGTCAGGTGTGTCAGAGACAGATTAGCTTAAGATAGGGCAAGGGTAAGTCAAAGATTGTATAAAACACAAACATTCTGTAAAGGTATTGTTATACAAAAAAAAAATTAAAAATATTTTTAAAAAAGATAGGGCACAGTTCAGAGTTACTGTTCATAGAGTCACTTTAAGTCATAGTAGACATAACAACAACAACATATTACCTGATGTTTGGTATACAGTAGGAATACAAGCAGCGTGGAGTGAATGGAACTCCCAGCATCCCCTGCCCAGGGAACCCTGGGAAGCTAGGACGAGGGAGTGACATGGATTCCTTTCAAACCTGTGTTAAGACTCTGACTCAGATACTGGAAGGTACAACCTCAGTTGAGATGTGGGGATTGTCCATCTGCCCCTCAGTTCCCCTGGCCATTATGGAGGGATGGGATAGCTTGCAAAATGCTTCTCAGTTAGACTAAGGGCCCTCCTCTCCCTGCTCCAGCCACCCACCCCACCCCCTTCCTCAGCAGGCAGGAATGCGGGGGAGAGGTGGCTGCAGCTTCACCTCCCCCATGGGGAAGGCAAGTGCCAGACATTTCTTCAGTACCATTCATCAAGTACAGACAGGTCCCCTCCCCCAGCCTCTTCCTGGAGTCCACACCCAGTGGGACCTGGACTCCCGGTGGGCTCTGGGGATCTTGGAGGTCTGACTGCTGGGTCAAGTGATGATTTAGGGATAAAAGACAAAAAAGTTGCTCTCCTTTCATGTTCTGTGCTCCCCACCCTCCCCTTTTGGCTCCAGTCAAACATGATTTATTATGAGAGAGCTTACATGGCGGGATGAGGAGCACCAGAAAGGCCTTCCAGAATGATGGTTGTCCTGGCAACTACTGCATGTGCAACTTCCTGGTGGGCCCTGGTGGCCATATTGACTCCCATGCCCCAATTCCTGATCCCAAGGATAGTAGCCCCAGAGGAGAGGGGATAGAGGAAGACAATTGTAGGGCCCTAAGAAAAGGGACTGGGTTATAGGGAGGGGAGACTATGAGAGATGAGGTGGGGAGGGGGAGGCGGGGAGTTGGATGATTGAGAAGGTCCAGCAAGACAATTCTAGGAAATTGCCGGTCAGATCCTTCCGGGGCAGCCTGGCTCCACTGTGGGCATGGGGAGAGGCGGGGGTTGGGGAGTGGGTGTGAGGAGAACCACAGAGTTGATCGTTTCAGCAGTTTAAGAACTTTCACTGGAATTGAGAGATTTCCTTCCGGAGGAAGACTCCTGAAGCCAGGAAGAACTGGGAAAGCCATTACTGAGGAGGGGTGGTGATGTCTAGGGCTTGCAATAACACCCCTCTCCCAAGCAGAGGAGACCAATTGGTGGCAGGAACCTCCACCCATAAGGGAGGGGCAGTCTAGCCTCAGTGTTTTGGGTTCTCCTGCTGAGTAGGTTTGGGAGGAGCTGGGGCAACTGGGCTTCCCTGGAGTATGATAAGAACAATAACAACAGTCATAGTTGGCATTCATTTGTGCCTTGCAGTTGACAGAGGCTTTGCATACATTATCTCATCAGTGCACATGACACGCCTGCCAGA